ATATTCAAATTTGCCAGGCAAGTTGAATTTGCTGGCATTTTGCTTGCAAGACTTTACCATATTCGGGCATGTCACGGGTCGTATGCTTAATATATTGTATACATTGTAGTGTCACAAAGCAAAGCAGTCTGTTTTGTCAATAAAATCAACAAAGAAAACAGTCCAACAGCCATGAGTCACGCACTCTCCGCTGCTGCTGCTGCTGCTGCTGCGAAATAGTAGAGGTATGATTGCCTTTAGTAAATACCAATAGTCATTTATTATTATCATAACTAAATAGTTGGGCAAATAGTTGAGAGATCTACTGAAAACATGCGAATCAAGGGAAAGAGCTAAAGCTGCGAAGCTTTAACAGGACTTTACTGTAGTTAAACTTCAGTCTCTGGGCAGAGTTTAGTTGAGAGAGCTGCAGTGGTACGTATATGGATGATTCTATTCCACACTCTATTCCACAAATTGCAGTGAAGACAAATTGCACAGCTGATTGCACAATAAGTGCATACATGATTTTAGTAAAGTGCAGCGCAGAGATGAGGAGATGATGGGGCGCAAATGGGCGCCAAAAGTCAACAGGCCATAATGGATTAATTAATGGTGGCAGACTGTGGACACTTGGTCAATCTGCAATCTCCATTGCAGTGCATAGATAGTAGGTAGGCACTGTAATTAGCCCAAATTGTAATCATGGCGTAGCCGGGCCGTGCTATAGTGCCTTAAATAAGCAACACGCTCATTACAAGCATAATAATTAAACTCCAGAGGGCAACAACATTCAAATATGCAGAGCTTTTGTATAAAATGTGCAGATATAAGGACACAGACACAGCGAGCGAGAGAGAGAGAGAGAAAGAGACACACAATCAGGCAGTCAGGCAGTCAGACAGACAGTCAGTCAGTCAGTCAGTCAGAGAGATAGAGCGAGAAAGAGGGACAATCAGACAGTCATGCATTCATAGAGAAAAATCAGTGTAAAACGTGGGCATTGTGTGCCAAGGCTGTGTGCAATGGATTTGTATGTTGTTTGCCTCTGGAGCTAAAGGAAAACAAGCACTGAACGTGCCGGGCCGCTCAGTGTGCTCAGAGCTCAGTGAAATGCGACAGCAGCTACCCACCTAGCGAGCCGGGTAAGCGCCAGGAAAATTCGACGCGTCGGCCAACCCCCAAAGAGTGTTGCGTGAAAATTAATGCGACATTTATTCATTATGGCAGCAGGCAGATGGGGCTGACTACATGCAGCCACCCACCAAGCCAACCACCCAGCCACCCATCCAGCCACCCATCCAGCTCACCCACTCAACCGCCCGCCCACCACTTGACAGCTGGGCATTGGATGGCGACGGCGAGCCCTGGCAACGATAACCTCAATGCAGCGACGCTTGACTGGCGCAGGGCCCCGTGTGCCACGCGGGGGCAGTCAAAGGCTGTGAGTGAAGGACAAGTGAGCTTCGTGGCTGCCACAGAGCGTCGGGACATTAAAACCATGTGCGTGATTTTATTCACAGATTTCTCTGGCCAACCTTTATAGCTGGCGCTCCCCGTGGGTCTACCCAGCGCTGGCACCGTATGTCTTTGCTTAATTTAATTCCAGTCAAAGGAATTTAATTAGTCACTTTGCATACGATTTTCATCATTTCTGCCGCCTGTCAGCACACAGCACGTCCTCGACTGACCTCGACCAGAGTCTGACTTATGTACTACTAAATACACATGACGCCCCACAGACTATTCTCGAGTTAACACAAAAAAGTGTTACTCGTGCTATCTATTAAAGGCTCCTGAATGTTTAAAGTCAAGCGAAATGCTATATTTGCATTTCAACCTAAGTATCTTTGCCTAATCAGTTTGAATATTTCTGTGAATATTATATGTATATATCTGTATAATATATAGAGCATAAAAAGCATATTAAGGATAGGCGCAATATTTTGAAAGCAATTTGAAACAAATATTATAATTTCAATACATGTATGAGGTATATTGTCATTTATGTATTTGTTGATCTTAAGCCAATTCCAACATTGCTTTCTCCAAGATTTAGTTGTTTATCACATTCTTAGTTCTGTTAACTAATCAATGAATCATAAGTTTGGAATTTAAATGAAGTACTAACTATTCGTTTGTCAACTTGAAAAATTCATATAGACAATATATATTTACAGTCGAGTCCCGATAATTCGAAATGGCAAGGGGATCACATTTTTTCGATTTACACAGAAATTCAAATTATCGAGAATTATCAAAAACCAATTTTTGTCAAGGGGTTCGATTTTTTTCGATCTATATCGATTTTCGATTTAGCGGAGTACAAATTATCGAGACTCGACTGTTTATATCTATTATACAAACATTGATCGCCATCAATATTGCATATTGAATATTTTATATATTACTTTCAAGCGGTACTTCAGATACCTCCATGGTTGCATAAAATTCAATTTTGGCAGTAATCATAGATCACAGCAGGTCAAAAGCTCGTTGCAGCATCTGCAATAATATTATAGCCACATACATAATTTACTAAAACATTTTACTTCTCTGATGAGAGAGAGAGAGATAGAGAGAATTTTATGCAATATATTGACTTCTCTAAATTTTGCATCAGTTTAGACTTTAATCTTCTTTATGTACATATGAAAGCCAATGGCCCCAGTAGGCCCCAGCTTCGTTTTAACTCAGATGTCTAAAAAATAAACAAACATATATCCATATGAGCAAACTCTTAATACAGCTCTAACAAATATCTAGGCACTCATTTGAAAAAAGTTGCCATTAATTTGGAACAATGCCGATTTGCCTCAATTTGTGGCAACTATCAATTAGAGCTACCTATACTCAGAGCAAAATTGAAGTTTATGGATTTGGCAAAAGGTCACATAAGTCAGATATGTTTATTGACACTAAATGCTTGTAAACACACACAGACACACCCACACACACAGACAAGCACACCTCAAGAAATTTGTCAAACATTTTGCAGGAAAACTAATAAATTTGTATTTGAGCACAATTTATATGCAGAAATTTGAGTTAGCTTTGTTGTCTTTCTCTGCAGGTAATTGGCAAGAATTTTTAAACGGTATCTAAAATGGCTTTTATAATACACACAAAGGGGAAGAGAGAGAGAGAGAAAGAGACAGCCACATAATAGCCGAGAGAAACTTGCATATTTCCAGTGCTAAAAGCCAGCGAGTTTATTGAGTTAGCCAAGATGCGCATCTGTCGTCTGAAATGTTGCGAAATTTTTGATATATTGCGGCGAGGCCTTTAGGTGTTTCACATGTGTCACATATGATAATTTAATAACATATAATTCTGAGAATCAACACAGCTGTGTTGGCAGTAGATAAGAGAAAAGACCTCACTGATCAACATGAATTGCTTAACTCAGGATAACTGCAGATATAGATACAGATACAGATACAGATACAGATACAGATACAGATACAGATACAGATACAGATACAGATACAGATACAGATACAGATACAGATACAGATACAGATACAGATACAGATACAGATACAGATACAGATACAGATACAGATACAGATACAGATACAGATACAGATACAGATACAGATACAGATACAGATACAGATACAGATACAGATACAGATACAGATACAGATACAGATACAGATACAGATACAGATACAGATACAGATACAGATACAGATACAGATACAGATACAGATACAGATACAGATACAGATACAGATACAGATACAGATACAGATACAGATACAGATACAGATACAGATACAGATACAGATACAGATACAGATACAGATACAGATACAGATACAGATACAGATACAGATACAGATACAGATACAGATACAGATACAGATACAGATACAGATACAGATACAGATACAGATACAGATACAGATACAGATACAGATACAGATACAGATACAGATACAGATACAGATACAGATACAGATACAGGTGTATAAACACGCATACATATATTTTTATGTCATCTTAAAGCTGGGGTGAGTGTGAGTGTGTGTGTGTTCGTGTGTATAGATTGCCCAAATGGCAATTCAGTCAATGACAGCGCATAAAAGAAACACATATATGCATATTATAAAAAAAAAAAAAAATACACACACACACACACACACACTGGGGACAGCACAATGCTGGGCTTCTTGCTAAATTCTTAGCCATTCAACTATGAGTAAGCCCCCTTTATTCAGGTCAGCCATGCATATTCGACAAATACTTATATGCACATACACACTCACACGCACACATGCACATATATACCATGTATAGTACGTATACATGTATACATATGTGTCTGTGCATTCATATTTCAATGGGTACAACGACTATGCTCGAAGTGGAAGTCAATTGAAGCAGCTTACTTTTATTTACGTAAAACGCTTAAAGAAACCCATGCAAGTTGTCTATTCTAGCCCAAGTGTATATGTATGTGTGTATATACATACGTGTGCATAGTACATAATATATATTTGGGATGCATTGCGGTGTCACATACCAAGCACAGTGTGCATCTGCATATCGAACACGGTGCAAATTGCAAACGTGTAATACGGCAAAGCTTGCCTATAAGAAGCAGTGAATTACATCTCTGCTAGGCAGCTATGAAAAAATCTCAGGCGAATTATCTCCTTTTCAAGTTCTTAATCTTTGAGTGTAGAAACATACAGTGGCTCACAGCTGATTTCAACCAACACCTAACAAAGACTTTGGGTACCTAATAAATCTAAACTAACAGAAATATCAATAAAATTTAAATGAAAGTTTTTAGTATAATGTTTTAGCTTAAAAAATTTAACTCACATATTTTTTTAATATTTTTCAAATATTTTTTGATAATTAAAAACTTAAAAAGAAAAGCAGTATAAAAAAGTACCGCGACTTTCCATGACTTCAGTAAAACTAAATTTCATATGGGATATGACAAACCTATTAATCCGCCACCATTTTATACACATTTTTATTAAAACTTTATTTCTTTATTCCAGATTTTAATTTGCAAGCTGAGGCCAGCATACCGGAGGACATATTTGACCAACATGATGCCGACATTGGCGAAGATGCGGCTGCCCAGATGCAATATGCTGAGCCTGCGGATGACGAGGCTGACGAGTACGAGGCAGCGGATATTGTGAGTATAGATAGAGTGCGCATACATATAAGTAAGTGTGTGTGTGTGTGTGTGTGCAGCTGCTGCGTGGGTGCTGCAAGTCAGTAAGTATTTCAAATGAGGTCAGTTCCATTGCAATCGCACACATGACATACAAAAAAAAAAAAAAAAAGAGATATTGTATGCAGTTAGATAGCATTGGGAAAAAGTATAGAAAACAAAAAAAAAAACCGTAGCCATAGAAGAAGAAAAAGAGACAACGCATTGAAATGTCGCACAATGTGCTGGCTAAGTCCGATTACTCTTCTGAATGATTGCTTTAAATATGCAGTTTGTCTAGCCAAATCGTTTGCCCAACCGGGTCAACTGGAAATCATCAATGCCCTTGGCCAACTGTGGCAAGCCCAGAGCTGAATGCCCTTTCGGACAGAGATTAAAGGTGATTTATTATGGGATATTAGAATGCTAATATGAGAAAGAGAACCTAAAATGTGAGCTAATTTTATAGTTCGTGCGAATATTCCAAGCACTCTATTCTATAACCTATAACCAAAGCCCAATGGAAATCAAGGTAAAAGGCAGAAGGAAGCGTATATCGCTTCTTGATCGGCTAGATGAACTATGTTGATATAGCCACGTCCACCTATCTTTCAATCGCTCCGTTTGTCCGTCTAAGCCTATAAGAACTAGATAGATTTCAATAGTCGTTAAAATAGTATTAATTGAAAAAATCCTTAAAAACTTAATTCCGTGATTTATCTCGTGCGCCTTGAGAGTATGCAAGTTTAGCATTAAATATTATTTTATGGTATTCCATTTATTTAATACCTCTATCAAATTTTTAATTTCATACAAATATTTTATAGAATATGTAGATCATATGATGTTATTTCCATTAATATCCATACAGTAATGCAAAAGTTAATGAAGAAAATGTCAGTCTTTAATTTGGCCTAGATTAGAATTTGAAGTAGTTTAGATTTTTTTTTTTTTCAATTTTTTTTCAATTTTTTTGAGAATATTTTTTTCGAATATTTGACGCGATCTTGAGCGTTTTGTATTTCTTTTTATGGCGAGACCAAAAGACATTTATTGTGTATATCTAATAGTCTAGATCCTTCGTTGGTGAGGGTATCAGCTAGTCGGGGTGCCCGCCCGCCCTCACTGGTGCATACTGATTTTGTTTTTCAGGAAATGCTTTTGGGTCTCTGGGCTGTTTCTAATCTAATTTGACAATGCGATATTTACTGATTGCTGCAGCTCTGGACTCGATTGTTTTCTTCGTATGCCTTAACTGCCAAGCTAACTAGATTGCAAAGTTGCCAAGCAGCAGAGTTGGGCGCAATGTTTTGGATAAATGCAATCTTCGAGTTGCGCTTGCATGGCTGCCACGTACTGCGCATCTAATCAGCGCTTTGCAGTCGCTTACAGCTGACAGACAGGGGGAGAGACAGAGATGGAGAGAGCGAGAGGGCGAGAGCGAGTGAGATAGACACAACAACTTTTGGAACAATCTGCGAGCTGCAGGAAAACTTGCCTTTTATTGTGGCACATGTGTCTAAGTTACTGAATAAGATGCTGCGCCTTTTAGATGGAACCACTTTGGCTTTATTGTTTTCAGCTGCAGTAACAGAAACGAGCAAGAGAGAGAGAGAGAGAGGGATATATATATATTTGGGCATATGCATATACAGTTATGCAGCTAGCTGCATTTTTGGGTGTGAGAATGGGAATTGCGAATGGGTTTTATTGTCTTTACGTTCTCTTATTGTTCGCTTCTTGTTTCCTTGCAGATACTTGAGTCTCAAAGGCCCACTTCAAGGAATTTCACTGTTTACCTAGCCAAAGATGGCAAGACAGTCAAGAAAAAATACCATAACAACAACAATGGCAACAATAGCAACAACAACAATAAAAACCACTACAGCTACAAATTGAAAAACAATAAGGAGAGCATGCCGACGAAGAGAGTTGCCAATGAAGAGGAAGCAGCTACAAAATCCACTTCCGGTGACGACAACGACAGTGCCAAGGACAACAACGGCAAGAAGAACGATGAAGTCGACAGCGACAACGAGCGGAATGGGAATGGCTATGGCTATGGCTATGGGTATAGCAATGGCAATGAGAATGGCGCTGGCGCTGGCGCTGGCACTGGCTACGGAGATGAGGACACGGGCGAGGACAATGCGGAGGATGGGAAGCCAAACGCGAACTTTGACAGCAAAAGTTTTGCGTATAAAAAATTTAAGAACATGCACGAACAGCAAAATCAACAGAGCCAAAAGGAGCAACAGCAGCAGACGAAGCAGCAGCAGCAGCAGCAGCATCAACAGGAGCAGGCAAATGCCAATGGACCGGCTCGCCAGCAGGAGCAGCAGGAGAGGAATGCTGCACGGCAATGGCAACGTGAGCAGCAGCAGCAGCCGGCTGTGGAGCAGCTGTTTGATTCTATTGAAATATTAAATGAACGAAAATTTAATAAAGCGCTCGGCCAATCAACGTTGCTAGCCGCAGAGGACGTCGCTGGCGAGGACATTATGGCAATCGGCGATATTGAGGACAATTTTGGTAATGATAAAGTATTGGCGGAAAACATTAAGTCCGCAATTGACAATGATGAATCAGCGGTGTCCAAGGAGATGATAATGTCGCCAGCAGAGACCAGCACCACAGCCACGCCCTCCGCCAGCACCAGCACGAGCACCACCCCAACCACCAGCAGCACCAGCACCACACCGGCGACAACAACAACCCAGGCAGCTACAGCACCAGCAGCACCCTCTGGCAGCTCCAGTCGGCGCGATCTGCTGGCGCCCATCGGCCGCAAGCCGAAACGACATGGCAATGGCCACAGCGCCATGTCCTGGCCCGGCAGCAGAAGCTACGAGAAGAAGAATTACGGCATAGGCCGCCTTCATGCCGCTGACTTTGAGCTGAACGCCGAAGACGTGGGCGAGCTGCACTACTACGACGGGGAGCAGCATTCGCGTGGCTCGGATGACGGTGCTGGTAAGACGGAGACCAACTACTTGAGTAGCTATTTGGGCCATATGGTAAATGGAACCAAGCAACAGCAACACCAGCAGAAGAAAGAACAGAAGCAGCCGCAACTGCAGGAGCAGCAGGAGCAACGTTTTCTAGATGACGTCGAGCAGCAGGGGGAGCAGCGGACGTCGCAACTTGAATTGGAATCTACATTGCGTTATCAGCCGGGTAAGTCATTTGGGCATTTTGTGAGTGGCAAAGCTTGTTCAAAGTCAAGCCAAAATAAATAAGAAAGCTACAGATCGAGCTGATGGACTGGCAAATACCCTGCATGCAGCAGAAAAACTAATGCAAAAAATCATAAATATTAAATGTGTAAATACAAATCCTAATCGAAGCCTAGATAATTCTTTACTCTTGCTGAGCTACGTTCAATATATATAAATGGGCGTGGCTGATACCCATTCAAAAGTACATAAGCCACATCCCATTCAAATCTCTTTTTCAGATTCTCTGTCAGTCTCAGTCATATATGAATATTACTACAGAGTATTTCATAGTCAGGCAGTGCCGAATAAAGTGCTCTTATTTGAAATATATACACATATATATTTATATATATATACATAGCTAAAAATGTACAGTAAGCCACGGGCTAAACACACAAATGGGAATCGGGACACGGATCGGTAGAGTCAGGGGCGATGGGAGGGGGGGGAATGCAGACAAAACGTCAGTCCAAATGACAAGAGACACTGCATGCCACACACAATCAGAGGGGAGAGACTTGAGCGCTGTGAAGAAGCCGCACAGTGGGCAATAAACGAAGCACGCGTGCATATAAATTTTGAATCAGCTAGACTGACTTAACCCTATTCCATATTCGGTTACCAATTTTGATTTTACATTAAATTTCAGTCTATGAAATGGGAGTTCTGGTAGAGTTAATGCTGTAATCAATTTAATTCTTCGACTAGTTTTGCTATCACACAATTGTTTGAAATTGTAAATAAAATAGAAATTTAACGGATTTATTCAACTATTGTGTTGCATCAGTAGCCGATTAGATGTGAAAACTCAAATGAATTTCGTAATTTCTGTGGTGTTTCCGACACTGTTTGAAAACTGTGGCTGGGCATCCAAAGCTCACATGCTTTGAATTGGTTTCCCTTTATGGTTTCTGCTCTTTAATACCCTCGTTGAATGAGGTATTTCAGGATATAACCGATTGGAAGCAATGTATGTAACGCCCAAACAGAAAGTGGCGTGGCCGATCCCATATTAAAATGTCTGCTAATACATGTGAAAGATCTTGGCGTAAAGAAGTGCTAAAGACCTGAAATCTCTGGTATCGGAATTCGTAGTTTGCATATAAACTATCCCAGTATATAAAATTGTATTTTTTCCACGCGATTCACTAAATATTTTCCACTTCCTAAGATCAGAAATATTTCAATGCAAAAGATATTTAGATATAAAATTTCCATGAAACTTCGTCTATAGCTCGACTTATGTATTATTTGAGGCTCGATTGATGAGGGCATCGTCAAGTCGCTCACTCCCGACTGGACTTACTTTGATTTGCTCATCTGGACGGGACTGCAGTCCACTAAGCTGGCGCTTGTGCTTTAGCTGTCGACCGTAAATTGAAAATATGTTAGGCAAACCCCAATTGAATGCAGCTAAACCCCCTAGAGGATTGGGACGTTGCGCACCAAAATTTCCGACCGCATTTGCCAAACGAAAAGTCTCTTTAATATGGGTGCAAATGTGAATGCTCGAATACGCGTGTGTATGTGTGTGTGTGCTCGGATGTTGCCTTAATTAGTTTATGTGCCTTGCCGAACTTATGCAAATTCAGCCAGAAATCAAACGGACTAAACTTTGCCGTCCGACGAAGCAAGCATCCAAGCACCCCTGGGCTGCCACTTTATTACAACAGTTTTATTTTGCGAGTTTTCGTTTTGATACTGGGGACCTATTTAGAGCTGGACATAGCGGGCATATTGGTTTTTATAGAGCCTATGTGACCCGGACTGTGTGAGATGGAAGCCATGTGCCATGACTCCTATATAAGAAATAAGAGCAAAATCCGTTTGAATGGATCAGTCTCTATATCAATTGAACTCTTGATAGAGATTATACATTTTCCGTAGATTTAGTAAAGAGCTCAGTCTAAGGCTTAAGTCAAACCTTTGCATGCCCTTGCCCATTTCTCTCAAAACTCGCTCGAATAAACTCATTTTTACATTTTGTTACACCATTCAAAGTAAACCAGGATATCTTCTAGTCTAACAACTTCATCCCATTAAAGAGACCATTCGGTAAATTTTTTGAAATCTATATCAAAAATTTAAGTTTTTCTAGAGTTCCCTTCCCCATATCTCTAAAAATTCTCAAAGCAAACTTTTTGTTTAGACCATTCAAGTCCAGCCAGGATATCTTCGATTCAAGCTCCAACCATACTCTCACTTATTTTCTTATCTTTTTTTTTTCTTTTTACCTGCCTCAAGCAATAAAGCCAACAAAACGGCAAATATTGTATAGCTCTGCATCGAGCCGTTGCTCAATGTAGAGCATGTCTCGAGGGCTTCCCCCCCACACACATATATCCCGCGCTGACCCGCAAACTACACAAAAAAAAAAAAAAAAAAAAACGAGAAAAAAAGAAAAGAAAGTAAAATAAAAATGAACTTCGCACTGCATTCATTGTAGTGGAGGAGTCGCCCCTGATACGTGCCTAGACTGCCAGAGGTCCTGTGCCTGGCCGCATCTTAAGCCAGTCTCCAGTCATTCCGTTAGATGTGTGCTTGGCCGGCGCCTCTGCCTCTGAGGGCCGTTCGATTTTTCATGATATATTCAATTTTGGGTTAACTTGAGACTTGAGACGGACAAAATTTCATAAACTTTGTCCAAACTTTCCAATAGCCCAAAGTAAAATAATTCAAATAGATACTTATTTATCAAATTGGTGAATAATAAGCAGCAACAGTCATAATGATGATAATAATGACGATTATGCTTAATCTATACGCCCAAGAGAATTTTGTTGCTTTTTCGGGTATCCCGGCTCCCTTGAGAGAGCTACAAAATTGGTGCCCAGACTGTACAAATATTTTATTTATTCTAAATCAAAATAAATTTATTTTTACCTATTTAAAAAAGTTTTTCTTAAAAATCATATATCTATTAATTATTATAAAATTGAAGAAAATATTTTAAAATTATTTTATGGTAACCATTTTAAATAAATAATGTAAATATATTTGTATCGACTGATTTTAATTTCTTGTTACTAATTTGTATATTTATAAAATACATTTTTTGTCTTCAATTATTATTTATTAAAATTTTCATTATACGTTTAATTATTATTTTACACTATATAATGTTGAAGTATAATTAAAAATATATATGTTATATAATTTTATACTATAAGTTTCATTGTTAAATTGATCATTTATATATTTTTAAATTAACGTGAATATAATTTAAGCGAAATTAATATCATTTATACTCTTTTGCTATGAAAAATATATATACATTTACATTTTAAAAAATGTTTTATTGAATTATATCTATAAACATATACATTTAAACAAATTTATAAATTTATTTTTTATTGATATAATATAAATTAAATACACTTTTTGGGTAATGAAGATAAATTCTTATAATTGTATTTAAATTATGCTGAGCTTAATTGGAAAATATTTGTTAATAAATTAACCAAATAGTAGGACAATTTTTTTCTAAATAAAAGTAAAATTTACCAACTATTAGCGAATTTTTGATTTTGTAATAAAATACCTATTTTACTTTTATTCTGTTTAATTTACGAAATATTCACATATTATTCAACTGAACTTCTCCAAAAGTTTCGTTACCCACCTCGCTGTGTGATGCTTGCTTGGGTTTTGTGGCGGCGATGTTGCTGCCTCACTTTTATGCACAATCAAATGAAATGAATTGTGGTCTTATGGCCAACGGATTTTGTGGTCTTAGATGAGCGTCACAAAAACAACAATAGCGGCAATAGTAACAGCAGCAACAGCAGCAACAAACAGCAACAACAACAACAATAGCCATCTACAAATACGGCGATTTGTTGTCCCCGGGACTAATAGAAATCTATTACTTCCGAGCGAGCGCATCGTGCCGAGACTCTCAATTCCAGCATTCAGTCCATGCCTACCTAATATGACTCTCAATCTCTATTGCAGATGCTACGACAGCGTCGCCGTCGGCCTTTGAGCGCTTTAAGGCGCTGCGGCGCAGCAGTCGCCGGAACGGCCACAAGAGCCACAAGAAGCGCTACAAGGACTATCTGAAGCACAGCAGCGCGCTGTCGGTCAAGCAGCGCAAGGATCGGGAGCAGCACGCGCAGAAGTGGCATCAGCAACGGCAGCTGGCTGAGAAGCAGGAGCGGGAGCAGGAAAAGGAACGGGAACGGGAACAGCAGAAGCAGCAGCAGCAGCAGGAGCAGCAGCAGGAGAAGCAGCGTGAACGAACTGAACAGGAAACCCACGCCCATGCATCGCCAATCTTTGCGCTGGGCGTACGGCCGCAGCGCAACACACCGAAACCGTTCTACGAGGGCCAAGTGAACTACTACGACCATCAGGAGGAGCAGCCGCTGCAGCCCCTGGGCACTCACCACACCGAAATGGAGCGTCTGATTGCCAGCGATAATGACAATTGGTATCGCCGCATCAGTCCAGTGTTGCGCAACGGCATCAAAAGCACTGAGATGCATAAGCAGCACCAGCAGCAGCATCAGGCCAATCATCATCATCATCTGAAGCATCATTATCATCAGCACCATCACCATAAGCATGCACGCCAACGTCTACCGAATCCGTATCAGCGCAAGGCCCCAGCTCAGCTAGCGACGCCGCCGACAACGCCACAGCCGCCGCTGCCGCCACCGAAGCCGCAGTTGGGCCACCAGATCACCGAACTAGAGCAACTGGAGCGCTACTATGCCAAGTGGCCGCATCTAGCACGCGTTCAGTTCCAGGTGTACGACGAGCACTACCGCGAAGCTCACCCGGAACTCTATGGCGACTACGATGCGGACGACGATTACGAGACGGCTGCCGAGCTGGAGGAGGCGCAGCAGGATCATGGCGCGGAGGCCAATCTGCCGCCGTACATCAAGAAGTACAACCGACGCAACAAGCAGCTGCTGAACCTGCTGGAGGGCACGCTGCCGCCACCGACGGCCACACCGTTCCCGGGCATCTGGAGCGGCTCACAGCTGCAGCCGGGCCCGCATGAGTCGGCGCCCATACGAGTGGACGATGACTACGTGAAGCAGAAGCGACGTCGCTATCAGCAGCGCTACGAGGACGTCTTTGCCCAGCAGCACAGCAGCAGCAGCAGCAGCGGCGTCGGCAGCGGCAGCGGCAGCCCCACCACGACTCCAGCCACGCTGTCCAGCAGCCCGGCGTCGCAGCTAAACCAGCTGCCCGAGGAGGACAAGCAATTGGATGAGCATCAGCTGACGGCTGCCGTTGATTTCTGGCAGAGGGAAGTCGAAACGAAGGCTGGGTCCAAGCCGCCGTCGCCGCACACATCCACCTCGAAGCCGGCCCTGTACAAGCTGCCACTGTACCCGGCCATCGCGGGCAGCTTCCTGGGCACGCCGCGCAGTCGCAGCGCCCAGTTCGTGGCGAATGTGTCGGGCCGTGGGCAAGGCAGCTGGCATCCTGCTGCTCCGGCAGCTCCGCTCGGCGCTAACAACCATGTGGATGCCCATAATGCGACAGCTCCACCGTTTTCGCCACTCAACTCGTTTGTCTATCATCGCGTGGTCGACGGCATTGGGGCTGCCTCCTCGCTCTCCTCGTCCTCGCTCAGCCGCAAGCAGCGTCTGCCCTTTGTGGCCATCACGGATCGGCGGCTGGAAAGCGTCGGCGCGCACAAGTTGGCCGGAGAGCAGCACAAGGAGCTCGAGCAGAATCACTTTCCAATGCCTTAAGCCGCTCCAACAACACGATCACGCTCAGCGCAAGTAGAAGAAGAAGAAGAACAGCAGAAAAAAACAAAAATAAGAAAAGCAAATGATGGAAAACTAGTTCGAACCCAAGCGAAGCGCGTGGAAATGGAATCGAATTCAATTAAGTTCGTGTACAAGCATATCAAATTTAAGAGTGGAGTAGTGGAAGGGAATCGGGAAGAACGGATTCAAAAAGATGATATCTAGAATTAAGGGCGGAATGAAAAGAGCAGACAATGAAGAAACCAGAAGCAATTCAGACCGATGAATGCGACAGAGCAGCAGCAGTGTATAAAGATATCGGTAATCGAGCGCAATTAATCGATAACAAACGAATTCGCACGTATATCAACGTTACGTTTCGACGTGGTTCCAAACGGATTTCCTTTGCTTACCAAACTTAAGCCTAAACATCAATTTTGAGTAGTTGCTTTCGAATAAAAGTCTTAAGTTTCGAGCTATGAGAAACGAGCACTAGCTGTAATTGGTTGTTTTTTGTTAATTTTAATTTTAATTTTTTTTTTTTATAAGAACTCTTGCATATTAAACATAAACGGCAGACGTTATAGGCAATTAAAAATAAAATAATAATAATAATAATAATAATAATAATAATATTAAAAAAAGAAAAAAATATTGAAAAAAAAAAATCGAAATATAAGCTAAGATTTTTTTTTGTGTATGATAGTAACTGACACAAACAACCAGAAGAATCGCCACAGTAGAGACGCAATTACCCCACACACACACACATATATACACACACAGTAAAATAATTGTAGGCATAATATATATAAACTTAAAGAGCCTGAATGTATGCAACACAATTTATTCGTTCGACAAAGCTGGCGATAAGAATGAGCGAATACATATACATGTAATACTCATAATGCCAGACACTGATTTGATTTTGTAATTTGGCTTTGATTGTAGCGTGAATAAAATTGCTTTTTTTATCCAGCGACTAAAACTTGTTTCAACAGTTCGAACATTTTTCAGTGCACGCAGCATCAAATAGGTTTCAAAATTAATTCAAAAGCAAAGAAACATCAAAAGAAAAGGAACATTTAAAAGAATAAAAAAAAAATATTTAAGAAAAAAAAAACAATTTAAGAAACGAATATATTTAATCACTAACGTTGTATTGAATGTACATAGTATATGTATTGTAGAATCACAAAAAAAAAAAAAAAAAAAAAAAAAAAAAAGAAGCAGTAAACAAGTAAAGGCTACTTATTTAATAAACCATTTGAAATGTAAAATCTATTTAGTTGGCTTCAACACACAACACAAATAAAAACAAAACAGATATGCAAATTAAAATAAAAAATAATTAAATCAATAAAATTGACATAAATGTTATATATTTATATGGTTATAATGCTTTCAAGGTAGGCAGGCTGGATCACGAATGATACGACTCGTACTTTAGTTTCAATAAACAAAGTTCAGTTTTGGTTGCGGTAAGTTTTTGGTTGTATAGAAATATTAAATATACGAATTTGTTCATTTGAATTTCAACTTCTTAATTATCAGTGTCTGCTATACATATAAAGAATTATTAATCAGACTAGAGTATATATTAAGCAAATTTTGAACTGTTAACCGCGATAACCGTTAACCGTTTTACTGCTCACCGTGCACACTCTGCTGGCGAAATCAAACGAGAAATATCATACTCACTCCCTCTCGCTCAAAGCAAGAGACTTCGATTTCGTTTCGTTTTTATTTTCTGTTGAGCGCCTTGAGTGGAACTATGCGTGTGACGCTCTCCTAACATCGTTGAGGATACGATTGGCGCACGCACAATGAGACACAGTGCAAATAGATCAAGAAGTCAATGCGATTGGTCTTCACACTCACATACACATCACACATTCAATTCACGTACGCTATTTATGTGCTTAGGGAGCATAGATTTAACATGCATACCAATACATACACAAATGACTCTTTGCTTCATTTCACTCAGCCAAACGGTTGGGGAACAGCCAGAGCGAAACAACAACAGAAACGGTTATTAACCGATCGCGAACGAAGTCGCTGATGAGCCGATGCAATCGGCAGCTCTCTGAGTGTTTTTTCAGAGTTGGGGTGAAAGCCACTAATAAGTACTGCATATTATGCAGACATTGAGAAGCGGTTAACAGTGAGCCATGTAATCTTTTTTTTTTTTTTAAACTGTTTAACATATGCAGAACTTTATTATGTGACCACGTTAATTTTTTCGCTGTAAATATAGACTCAGTAAATATAATTTAAACAGGAGAAAAAATATAAATTCTGAATAATTGAAAACAAATATTTAACAATATCAGCCATATATTAAAAACAATTATTAATCTCCAATGTAAAATGATTTAATTGCATTTAATAAATAAATTGAACAAATATTCAGAATGTAATAAACATTATTTTATATGTATGCTAGAAATTATGATTCTCAATTTGCAAATTTGGTTTATTTGAACCGCAAATGAACACAAACTCTACAAATATTTTACTATCATAGGCAGGCCTGTTTGTGATTGTGTTTTTGATCTAAAATGCCTTAATATAATCTAATTTAATGCCAATCGTTTCAATTTTGAAAATTTGAGGTTTCCTTGAAATATGCTTTGCCAAAATTTAAGTATAGTTGAAAAGTTGCATGCTGGTCTTAAAGCAGTAAGCTAAATATTCAATAAATTTATGTAACGCAAAGTATTAAAATTCAAGTAAAGCGTTATTATACATGTAACTAACTACCAGGCAGCAAAAAGGGAGAACGAACCAACAACAACAATCACAACTAACAAACTTTTAAAGAGCAGCAACGATACCAACACACAAACACGTACACACGCACACACACACACACACATAACTACTTATGTGGTAACATTTTAATGGAATGAAATTCAATAAAGCAAAACTTATTATTTACGCACAACTTTTTGAAGTTTCTCTTGCGATGCAGATAAAATAAAAAAGAAGAAGAGCAAGAAGAGCATTGATGGCATGATACTCGCTCTCCCATATGGGCATGCCCAAGGGACGAATAATATATATGAATATATTTAAATAAATGTATGCATATATATGTATATATATATATGCATGTGTATATTGTATGAGGAATATATACATACATATGTATATGTAATGTGAAGTGCATTGTCTAATAACTTAGCGTCGCATTATTAGAGTAGTGTGCCTTGGTAACACTCAAGTTGGTAAGTAAACTATACTCCTTAGCATTCACAAATTGCTACTTCAAGAGAGTGAGACAGACATATAAAAGAGAAAGAGATGGCATGTGGGCCTCTTGAAGAAAAGTAGAAGGAGCTGCTGAGGATTAACACAGGGGACTCGTTGAAGATGGATCGATGAAGATAGAAAGAGACTATGCTAAGCCAGCTCCGATATGCATATAGATGTATATTCTAAAATCTTAGTAGATATACATACATATATCCAAAATTTTAGTAGGTAAACATATATTTTATGTATGTATATACATATATATATATCTGCTATCATCAACGAGACTGCTCGACTAGGAGATACCCTGAATCATTCTGGAGCACGCGCTCTGCTAACTGCGCAGTAAGCAGCGGCTGCGCTTGGGCTGCGCTTCAATGTGGGCAATATTATGAGATCTTTTGTAGACATACAATCTTAATGAAACTTTCAGAGCGTAATCATATGGTCAAAAAGTGTGTACATTCTAAAGCACAAGTCTCTAGTACTCGAAATTTACAAATTGGGGGCGTGGTGTCCAAAATCTGTAAATTACAAAATCTTTGTATCCATTAACTTTATATACAACGCAAATTTGAAGTCTCCAGGTCTAAAATTGTTCAAATTAGGCTGAAAAAACAATGTTGATTTTTCGATTATTCTCGATAAAAAAGTTATCAAAATAATATAAATAAACTTGTACTGCCTATGGTATACACGAGTATGCATGCCAAATTTCAGCTCTCTAGCTCTTATATCTTCTGAGATCCTTTTGCTCATACGGACGGACGGACGGACGGACAGGGCTATATCGACTCAGCTCGTCGTCCTGATCAAGAATATATATACTTTATGGGGTCTGCGATGATTCCTTCTGCCTGTTACATACTTTTCACAAAACCATTATACCCTGATTTCCCATTTTCAATGGGTTCAGGGTATAAAAATATAATAAATATTTTTAGAAGCAATTATCTATAAAAATGATATATTTATTTTCAAGAGTAAATCAAATAATATTTTAGACATTCAGGTAAAAAAAAACTTTACTCAATTTGCACTTGCATTAAATATTTCGCTCATGTATTAAGCTCCATAATGGGCACATCAATGGCAAACAAATGGCTCTGAGAACTTGCAAGCCGGCAGCCAGGTCTGATTCCGATTCCGATTCCGATTCTTATTCAGATTCTGGTTGGAATTCGGGTTGCTGTTCAGGTTGGGTTGGGTTGGCTTGGGTTGGGTTGGATTGGCAATTCTATTGGCAATGCCAATGTCATTTGCATGATGCTCGAGTGGCTGTGTGCGTTTTCGCATTCGCATTCACTTAAACGCTTATAAGTGATGCCGATGTCGATGCTGGTCCCGGTGACGGTGCCAATGGCATCGTTTGGTGCACTGCAAATGACGCACTAACGGTAGACAAAGTGCCGCCTAATGCCCGGGCGCCCCGTAGCAAATTGATGTACTCCACTCAGCTTCAAATGCGTGTAACAATATCTTCAGGATGATAGAAGCTGCCTTCAATGCTGCACTACTTTTCAATTACAGTTTCTTCTCGCTGCGCCTCCTGCCGCAGCCCCTGGCAGCTCGCCGGCAGAGGGGCGTGAAAATCTGTCACTGGATTTGCATAAAGTGCTGCAACGCTCGCTTTTGCATGCCACGCTGCCATTTGCCAAATAATTTCAATTCAATTTACAACCAACTTAAAAAGAATGCCACCAAACCCGTGTGGCGGCAGCTCAAGAAATGCCACATCCAAATATATTCAACTGCTCTATACTCTGCTGCCGCATGGGGGTGTTCGGCCACGGGCATAGGCACTGACTGCGCCATCTCCTGCGCGGGGGAGGGGGGTGTGGGAAGGGGACGGACATTGAGAAACTCGCCATGGGAGGCGATGGCAATTGATATGAGTTATTGCACAAGAATCTGTAATAAAAGGCGTCGCTCTCTGAAGCGACAATCAGCTCAATCATCTGACTTTACGATTCGCTCTGAGTACGCCCTGGCACCGTGCTGCTCAGGTGCTCACAGGTAAAGCATCACAGGTTCAGCATAAGCACATCAGGCATTGCAGTGCTACCTTAAAGGTTTGCAGCTCATACACTGGAAGCTCTGTAGAACTCAAGGGAGCTCTCGATGAGCTAAAATTAATGATATATAAAGTATTATAGTAATTAATATATGAAATAAATAAATAATAAGGTATATGCATATTTATAATGCATGACACTAATATATATTGTAATTTATAATATATATTAATATATTGTAATTAACGGCCTAGACTTAAGTTAGGCGCTCCCACACTAGAGTACTAGTGATTGGGAACGCTGTGTTGGGTTCTTGTGAATATATAACAACTTTGTGTTCAATGAAATAATATATTTTATATATTTTGGAACAATAAGTCTAAACTCTCTCTAGTCCGAATATGAACTGAACTAAATCTGTTCTACTGGTTAGGTTCTCCCCTTGAATGTCTGACTGGACTCTCCAGCCTCCTTAGATTGTCGAAAGTCTTAACTTACTATATGATAGCCTTGGAAATAAATCATAAATATTTTAATTTTATTTAATTTTGTATTTGTTTACTGGGATAGATCCTTTCAAGACCAAAGCTGCTCATATCGAGCCAATCAGCATTTGGCATTTTTAAGTGCTTTCACACTAACTGTGCTCAGAATATAATTAAACAGATATCGAGCCAAGCTGTTAGCTGTTTTCGAACTATTGAATACATTAAGAACGGAATTATATATTATTAATTGTACAAGAAAAAACTTAACTATTACATATATATTAGTACATATATATTTCTTTTCCTACAGTATTCAAGAATAAAAAAATTTAAAAAAATGTTAAATAATATTCCTATAATTATCAACTGAATTATTTAAATATAAAAAAATATATTTAAATAATTTGTTGTTTTACAAACTTCAAAATCTGTTCCGAGTTAAAGGTAAAGTAAAGCTATTAGAAAAAAAAATAAAAAAAAAATAAATAAATAAAAAAATAGTCAAAAATACGCTTTTGCAATTAATATTAGCACTTAAGATCTAAATCTAAGATTGAAACCGATAGCAGCAGATGCCAAAACATGTAAAACAGAGACCGTAACGATTTAAATTTGTATAATAAAAATTAAAAAAAAAGAAATTTGCTTGAGCTTATACAGAATTATATGAAATAAATGTTTTGATTTATTTTTATTTTTTGTTTATTTCGTTTTTCTTTGCAGTCCGTCTTATGCTAAACAATAAGCAAAAGTATTAACATTAACAACCAGTTGGTTTCAACTCCAATGAGATCAATCCATATATTTACACATTAATACATAGCTAAATTTGGCTGTCTGACTGGTTGTCTGTCTTTCCTTAAGTCCGCTAGGTTGCAATCCAATTTGCATCTGTCCGTCTGCCATGCAAGCCCAATCGACTAGCTAATATGGCCAACTGCACACATAGAGCAGCCTCAAGTGCAGCATCAGCGCTGCAAATTTAAATAGGCACGTAGTACGGGGCAAACGCCAAATGGAGACATTGCCAGACGACAACGACAACGCACACACTCATACACATATACAGAGAGAGAGAGAGAGAGAGAGAGAGAGAGAGAGAGAGAGAGAACATCAGACACTCCACACGCAAACTTGCGCGATGCAGACACCTCGGCAACGCCTCTGCTCATCGGCTGGGGCGAAGGGCGTGGGGCGTGGGGCATGGGGCGTGGGGCACAGAAAATGTGGCGCGTTGCATTACCGTCACAGTCAGCAGAGGACACACATGTCTTTGCCAACATTTTCCGTTGCTGCTCAAGAAAAATCGCTGGCGGCGCACACTCAGCAGCTATCAACGGCAGCCCCTTGCCGCCTGCCCCTTGCTCCATGTTTTGCCTTCAGTCGGGTGCCAAGTGCAGTTGCTCATACACACACACACACACACACGCACACACGCGTACATAGATGTGCTTAACTGACGTACATGTGGTATCCAGGTGACAGTTGG